ACCATTTTGATCACTGTGATGAAATTTACTGACTGACATTTACATAAAGCATTTCTAACAGAATTTTATGTGATAGTGAGGCGATTAACAAATGTGTTGCAGCGCGACTAATGAATCATGACTGAAAATACATGCTGAAATTATTCCGTGATTTGCTTGTGCAGTAATACGCATGGAGACATTGTTCTTCGGCATATGCGGGTGTAGAGCATTCTGAAGTAAAGCTGCTTCTGTCTCTTCACGTGGCTAAATGTGCCTATAATTCGCATTTCGTTTTTTTGCAACATTTGAAAAGTAAAATACAAATTCACCTGAGAATTGAATGGAAACACGACCATTGACCAAAACCCAAGAGAGGGCGGGTGGGGAAGATCATTTCTTCATGAATCATTCACTGGTGTTTTCAGTGATATACTACGAGTCACACCACAACTATCCAGACTACAAGTTGTCAATGCTGCTGTTCTGGGGGTTAGCAACATGAATGTCAAAATACCCAACAATGACTTCAATGTCAAAGTATATGCCGACGATAGACACGATGATAGATAGTTTTGAGTAGAACATTTAGGCCTGAAAATACAATAAGAGGAATTCAACTGAAGAGCAACATATTCAAAAGAAGCAGAAAGACATCTGCCTGCATTGGAAAGAATTATTAGCAGCTCAACCTCCTTTTTTATGCACCATATCTTTGCTTATAAAACTGAAGTTGGGAGGAGTGTACTTAATGAGAACTGTTCCCATTATGGCTTGCTCAAATTAAGTTTCAGTTTTTAATCCAGTCATCTTTATCCACATTTTTCCATGAGAATTCTCTTTCTACCCTCCTTTTGAATAGTGTAATTAATTTTTGAAATTTCCTTTTGATAACCTTCGTTTGTGTGTTGAAGTTCACGTTCACTTTCATATGTGAAGTGGTGTGACAAATGAACAGTGCATGTTCGCATGGAGCTTTGGATCAAGTGATTTGCCAAGGACACATGGGGGACTTTGGAACCACTTCACAGTTTTTCAACCTTATCTCTGCTTTTGTCATCTGATGACATGCCTTTAAACTCCACTTCACTTGTCGATACTCTCTGTATGTCATAGCCAGGCTCTGTTCAACACCCAAAATCCTACACCTGATGATGCAAGTACGGGCCAAACGGCAGCAAGAAAGAGTCATTCCAGCCCCAAGACGTGTAATCGTTCCCTTTACCAGATAAAACTGTACGATTTTAAAAGGAGGAAAACTGGAGTTTTTCTCGGTATTCCTCGTCCTCTGACTGTCTGAACAGATAAAGGATTATGGAGGGAAGAACAATGTGACTATAGATGCTAAATGTTTTGGTGTGTAATGCTGTCTTTGATGAGAAATTGATTGAGATACAATAAAACTGTTTCTTTAAAGCTCGATGTGATAATGAGGGATAATACCAATACACAGGATGGACAGGGGGGCAGATCTCACATCTGCAGTCTGTTATCTGCAAGTACCAGGCAGCACACTGTTGTGTAATCGAGAGATCGACAGTAATAGTTGGGACCAAACACAACGCTGAGAAAAGAAAAACATGGAAGGAGAAACTTTCAGTATGATTGGAAAATAATAAGAAACTCGCCTAATGAAAGCCAAATCACGTGGTACGACGTAAACCCTTAATCCCGAGGTGTAAATTCAGCTACAACCAGTTTATGTCTCTGGTGGCAAAAACCTTGTCAAAGAAATAAACTAAAATGCAACGTTAACTGTTTCTTTGTCTTTGTTTTTAAAACCACACCAATCACCAAGCCACTTTCCTTGTATGTGCAAAGACGACAGTAAACCGTTTCTGACTGAGATTGAGCAGGACAATGTCATTATTGTCATTATTCGTGTGATCTGGTCCTTTACAATCTGAAGAATTACTGGATGTAAAGATAAAACAACTGTGTGGAAAAGGACTTTTATATCATCATCTATTAAACATTGCTCTGTCAATTAACACTTTGATATGTGGGTTCTCAGAGCGGCGCTTCAACACGACCCACCTTCACAGCAGTGTTTGCAGCGCTGAATTGGATGTTCCGTGTTATTGTGTCTACCCTCTGAATATGCTTCTAAAAATATATATAAAAGCATTGTAGGTGTTAATGATGAAAGCGGCCTCTTTATGCAGATATAGCACCGTTAAAAAAGATCTGGCATGTTAGACGTTTGCCCCTCTCTCTCTGTCTGTCTCTCAGTCCTCCAGTCCTTGATGTTCGACTCCCAGCGGTCTTCTTCCAGTCAAACCACCAGTGGGGGATATCACCCGTTTCCTTACATGTCATGAGCGGAGCGAGGATGCAATTTTTTGTGCCAAAGTGTTTTTTTTTTTTAAAAGGAAAAGTAGGCCAAGAGCATGAGGATTTTTGAAAAGACAGAATGACAGAGAGACTCAGAGGAGGGGAGGAAAAAGAGACATGTAAACAAGTTTCCATCATAGTTGCGACGTTTTGGTTGTTTGTTTGTGGGACAACCATCACTCGTGTACACGTCGAAAGAAAACAGACAGCCGACATGAGGACAAACTCTTTCTCTTTGCTATTCCCTCTCTTGTTCCCTTTCTCTACATACCTACATACATCACTGCCTCTGCTCGATTCAGTTTGATCATATTTAAAGGTACGGTTTTCAAAAATGATCAATACTTAAAGTTAAGCTGCATGTACAATACCTATTAAAATACATACAGATACATGAACCACAGATAATTCATTATGGTGTACTAAGTTGATTAGAATAATGTTGGGTGATAGATAAAAACACAAAAAACATTTTCAGACGCTTTCCTTTAGGCTTTTCTTTCTCTCTGGTGTGTAGCTGTCATCACATTCACTAGTCTGTCCCTTATCTGTCTGAACTGACACACACATTTGCACACACACTTTCTGACAGAGAGTTTTTCCCTGAAGTTAGATATTAGTTCTTTGTCAAAAAACCCAAACAGATGACACTTAGAAAAAAGCGTAGTTCACCGGGGAAGCAAGAACAAGAAATGTGGGTAGTAAAAATGTTATTTTTTAATAATACAACCTAACAGAGAGAGCGGCTGCGAAGGCAAGCGAATGTCTCTTAAATGTGAAGGCAGAAATAACACGAAGACCTCTTATCGTTGTTCAGAAGATACAGCGGCCGTGTTTTGCTTCAGGTAACATAAGACAATGAAATAAAAATCCAAGAAGACTGGTTTGAATAATGGATCAGAGACGTTGGTTTCTTTCAACTTTTGATAGCATCGCAATGAAGCACCCTTCACCCTCCGTATGAGACACACTGGGCTTTCAATCTACACCACTGTGAAACTAACATCTGTATATGTGATAGCTGACTACATAATGTAACTTATGTATCTTACTTAGTTTACTTAACAAACATACTTCTTTTAACAGACCACATTATTTTCCTAAACCTCACCAATACGTTTTGTTTGAATTCACAACAATAAAAACATTAAGATTAACATCCGTACGTTAGCTACTTAACTTAACTACTTAATTGACCTAAGTAGTTTTATTTAGGAAGTCCTAATTTTAACTCAAACCACGATCTATTCCTAAACATAACCAAGTAGTTCAGTTGCATAAAAGTAGTTTAGTTGCATAAACCTACGTTGTAAGTTTATTTTTAAAAGACACTGCATGCATGTAACAAGCGGCAACTGTACGTTTCTTGAGAACATCGAGAAGTAAACTGTGATTTATTTTTCATGTAACTTGCATACTTTAGTATTCGGCACTTCCGTAGTTACATAACACAAACGAAGATCTTTTCTGAAACCTTACTAAGTAGTTTTGTTGCCTAAATCAACCAAGTTGTTTCCTGTAAAGACAGAAGTCTATTTTAAAAGACTGTTTGCATTTAACGAGCGGAAATTGACATTGTTGCTGGACCTTAGTTAGAAAACGCATAAAAATGAGGAATAACTTTTCACAAGATTTCCTACAAACTGCTGCGTGAGGATACGATGCCCTGACTCATCCAAAATTAATGATGGAGGGGAATTTAGAGCATCATAGTTTGAAGCAAAGGGCCAGTGAGCAAGCTGTTTTATTTTAAGAGCTGGGCGTGAGAATGGGTTGTCCATTTGTAAATGCACAAAACTGGAAACAACTCGCAAAACGCTGCTCTAAACCACCAATAGTGGTCAAAACCTCCACAGCTTACCTTCAATCAAGTAGTTTTGGTGGCCTAAGCTGTTCCTTCACTACAAAGGTGGCTGATCAGAAAAAGGTAAAAGGACATTTGTTACAGTTTTGAACGTCAGCGACAAAACAACCTTTTTGTCCTTCAGCTTGTGGAAATTATTGAGAGATACTAGACATCCACAACTGCTGCAATAAGGGAGGAGGATTCAAAGTAAATGTTGATTTTTGTCATGTTGATGATCGGCATGCTGCTCCCAGATGTGATGAAAATATTCTATGTAGAGTGGAGCTCAAACTGCAAATAACACGAGAGCGAGCAAACAGAGAGAGAGAGAGGAGAAAGAGAGAGAGAGGGAGAGAGGGAGAGAGGGAGAGAAGGAGAGAGGGATGGAAGTGAAAAAGAAAGACAGGACTGCTGTTGCCACAGGAGAGGTTTCATGTAAAAACACACACGCCGGCTTTCCTGTCCAATTCGCCAAATTACTGATGAACAACTCCCCCTGAAGAGAAGAGAAGGGGGGTGAGAAGGATGAAGTGTGTGTGTGTGTGTGGCGACAAGATCTCTCTGTCAGATACACTCTCATACGCACACACACACTCTCAGCCCTCTGAAATATTTACTAGCCTCATATGGGGAAATCTCTAAGGATTATCCCCAATAACCTGTTTAACTTAATCCTTATCTCAAACACATGAATAATAAATCTCCCCCCCTCCTCCAGCCCCCCACCTCCCCACTCTCCGTCTCTCCCTCTCTCCGAGGAGGACTGAAAAGTAACGCCTCTCTCACCTTCCTCTCCATCACCCTCCCTCCCTTCTACTCCCTCACACTCACTCCATCTGCTTCATGAACATGAGCCGGCTGCTTTCTCTGCCTCTCCGAGCGTCTTTGAGCTGTTCTGACATATGCGCTCCCTCTCTCAGCTTCTCAGCTTCTCTGCCTCTTTCCTTTTTTTCTGTCTTTCCACCAATCCCCATACCTCTCCATACCTCCATATCTCTCTCTCTCTCCCCCCCCCCCCCCCCCCTTCCAGGACAGGAAAAGGAGCAGTAGCAGGGTGCACCAGCGGAAACTGACCACAAAGACAGGGAGAGGAAGTGGGCAGTGACCTGTACGAGAGGGGACTGCGGTTTGGACAGCTGTGGTTCAACACTGGATGAGAAAACCACATCAGAGGCGACCAGAGGAAAAAAAGAGCCAAAGAGCCCCAGAACCTGTTAGAGGAAAAACCTCAACAACCTGGGCTATAAACACATTTTTTTAGCACAAAACTTTGAGAGAAAAACGAACAGAAGCAGAGTGATATCTCAGCGATTACCTCCTGAGTTAACTCTGGAGCTTTGTCTTTGGAACTCTGGGATTCATTCTCATTCAAGAGGAATCAACCCATACTTCATCATCACAGACTTATCTTGTTTTTATCTCGAAGAGGATTTTGTACAGAAACCTGGTGAGAAACCAAGCGGAGAGAGAAATCCCTGCCTGTTCAACAACACCTGCTGCTCTCTTTCAACATCAGAAAAAAAACCTGCACCGCACAGAAAGGAGAGAGCGTGGAAGACTCGTACTCCCTGTTGAGCATTCGACCACCTACCAGCCACTAATCTCTACTGCAACCTGCCTCATTAATAAAGTATAACCTCAGTTTGAGCTTGGGCTTACCAAAATAAAGGTCTGATTCTACTTGGCTTGGACCATCTGTCTGTGTGGTAAGTTTCCTTTTTTTTCTATTTTGAGAAACACTGATTGTGCAGGTGTGTTATGTGTGTGTAGATCATAAGTATGATAAATAGGTGCTGAACAATTATACGGATAGATACATCCAGAGCTTTCCAGTTCAGCAAATGAGAGTCTGAATTTGATAAAAAAAAAGCAGTGTAGAGCAGCAAATGTAACCCAGACCCTTTGAAAAAACACTCCAGGCTATACTTTCCCAGTCACTCCAGGGTGAAACGCTCATGAATACCGGTCAAACTGTCTCGAAGAAGGTACCGAAATAACTTGAAATAATGGCTGTTACCCCTTCAAGGATGTTGACATATGTCATGCCAATGATCTCGGACAGCTCCGTGGAGATTTGAATGCTGTAATTGAGCTCTGTTTCCCCCCCAGAGGGCTGGACTGTCATTCCTGGAGACAGACTGCTGCGACCATTAAGACGATACCGGATGATCTAGGACAGAGCAGCACATTTTAAAAGACAGAAAATATATCCACCGGGCGTTCATTTTGAAGAGTTCTGTCAACTTGATGTCAAGCTGGTGCGGCTATAAAGTATTGATGACGCCATTTAATATTTGCAAAGTGGTCGAGTGGTGTTATTTTGTCAGCTGGAGAGTTGCCTGCTGTACATGCAGAATCTGTTTAGTGCATAGAGGGGTTGACAAAATGATAAAAAATCTCAGCATTTGAGAGGGTATTCAGATCATTTCTGGTGCTGCGGTTATAACATGGCAAGCTGTTTCTGTTTTTCTGTCCACCCCTGTGTATGTGAGAATAGTTCCTCCTTAGTGATGCTTTCTTTGTGGATCTGGATCCATGGTCCCGAGTGACAGAGGTGATTTGATTTGGTTGTTATGTCGAAAGCCTTTGATGCAACTAAACCCAGTGGTCTAATTCCTGGAGAGGGAACTATCAGTGAAAATCCTTTGGGTGCCATCTGGGAGACCTCACCCTCACACATACACACACACACACACACGCACACACACACACACACACACACACACACACACATAAGATTCATGATTAGAGCCATTCATTCAGATATATGTCAGAGTGGTTGACAGGCTGTCCAGCTGTGGCGATGTTAGCGCAGCTGAAGTCGCTGATTGCAACTGAAAGACCCAGTTGGGGTTTTATTTTCAGTGACTGACCTGTATTCTGCACTTTACACAATATACCACACTTCACCTTGTATTTGAACATGTTTGAATTTAAATTATAATGTACTTGAACGTTTCCCTGATTGGTCCATAGCTCCGCGTCAGAATGTGAGGCTTTCAAATGTTGCAAACTGGCCTGATCGGAAATATTTTAAACGTTTTTTGTGATGTGCTGGTTGAACAAATGAGAAATAATCGTGTAACTACTTTAACAATATTTACATCATTTATAAGACAATTCGCTATGTGTTGTGTGGACAAGAAAAATCATATCCCCTCATCGTTGAGCTGCTTCAACATTTTCACTACTCGGATGTGCCGTGTTGGAAATGTTGCCTTCGGCAGAGTCAGGGGCTGACAGCTGAGCCAAAACCAATGTGGATAACACGCTAGGCTTTAAATTATTTTCAGATGGCTGTTGGTTATTACTGTCAGATTTAAAGCTGGCCCACATCATTCATAACAGTCTCGCTGTAATGAAATCTGATTCGTCTGATTGTGAAAGAAAATAGAATTAACTAGAAGGCTCTTGAACACCAATCAGAGCATGATAAAGTCTGTGACATGACAGTGTCAGTGAGGACACAGTGTGTGTGTGTGTGTGTGTGTGTGTGTGTGTGAGCGGTTCCTGGTGTGACTTGCTGGCAGACAGATTGTTAGAAGCTGCTTTGTGATTGAACATGTTTTAATCTCAACAACAGACACAGACACTGTTCAGCAGTCAACCATCACAGATTTGAAGCTGTGGAATCACCTCCTGTGCCACATAAGCCGTGTTTCCGTTCACACATTTGTTTTAAACGTGCATTTTGATGTATGCATTGGAAAAGCTGCGTGAAAACAAAAGCAACATTTGATTAACAAAAAACTCAGTTGCAAAAGTAAATTGTAAATTAAAACACCTTTGCCGAATAAATTCTGACGTAGCGAACATTCATTTCACATGACTGATTTGCTGTTTCTCAGATATTCTAATGCTTGTCTTCGTCTCAAGCATGAAACATGTCCAATACTAGCTGACATTAAAAAGAACAATTAAAAATGTTCCCACTTGAAACAAATTCCTGAAGACCACTCTCCATGTATCTCTTGTAGATGGCTAACCCTAACCCTATACCCTAACCCAAGGAGACCTTTTTGTTTTCAGTTCACAGCCTCTTCTCTTACGCTGTTCACAGGCAGATTAGCGTCATGCGTAGCCTACAGCGCCAACTTCTGACCAAGCTACGGTATAGCAGAGGTTATGCGCTTTAAAACCAGTTTATGGAAACACACCTAATTCACATTTCAAAAGTTTGCTCGAAATTCCAAATGAATGGAAAACCGTCTGTATACAAAAATAAACAAACTCCTGATTTTGAGGTGGGAAAAGGAGACTGAGGAAGGCCAAACTATGTCAAAGACATCATTTTGAGACAGATTTTTAAAGAATGTAATGAGATTTTTAAACTGTTGCTCCTCTGGTGCTCGTACAAGCTGAAGTGCTCACCAGAATTAGTCCTGATTATATAGTTTTCATACTAAGGTAGAAGGTACAGGTTCCTCCTCTGGGGAGCAGTTCGCAAATGTCAACCTGTTCAATTATGCAGCAGGCTATCTCGTGTGCAAAGTACACACTTTCATGTAAGGGTGGTGATAGAGAAAAAGGTCATGTGATCATCAAAGTCAACAGGGTTCATCCTCTGGGGACCACAAGTAGCCTGAACAAACTTCATGGCGATCCAGCCAGTCGTTATCTTTTTTTTTAAAAACGTTCATATTTTGATACAAGAGTGGCACATGAAGATTGTCCTAATTGGAAAAGGTTCATCCTCATTTGGTTATGGCAACCAAAGGATAGATAGATAATTTGCCCCGGGACAAAGTCCTCTGAACTCTTGACAGATTCATGCTTTAGACGAATCCAAAAACAAAAACATACAATCTTATCACGTGAAAGGCCAGAGGGGTCATTTTACTCCATTCAATCATGTGACGTCTTATTTACTTGGAGCCCTTTTATTTCAATCAAAGAGAAATCTGCATTTACGAGTTTTTATTTCTGTAAATCGACTTACATCAATACATTCATGCTCGTTGTCATTTTTCTGGCTCTATCATGGGAAGACGAGGTCCCCAATCTTCATTTCCGTCTACAAAACTCTGATTGACTCGGTTGTTTTCAAACACCAGACCTATTTCATTAGTTTGAATAGAGGTCTGGAATCTACACTCAAATTCTCATTATTTTGGTGTCGTTCTTTTGTTACTGGTGCGGATTCGGATGATGGGATGTCAGATGATGATATGAACCACTGATCCACCGCGCCACTCATATTGAAACGTCATATATAAATATTTATATGTAATAAATAATTACCTCCCTTGTCCTTAAGATTTGAAGACAGAGCTGAGTTGTATTTCTGTGGATGAACTTCGACGACCCCTTCGGCGACCGCCAGAACTATGAAGTCTTGTTGACTCGTTTCGTTGCTTTAGCCTTTGGTTGAGTGAAACTAGGTCAGACCTGTCTGCCAGTCACAAAACATCCCGGAGAATGACAACTGTATCTCAGCGTCTGTCTGTTTCTGCTCCTCCGTCACACTCACGCACACACTCCCTTTGCCTGCGGACAATGTACAGATGTAATTACAGATATTTCCTGGGTGTTATTTATTCTTCATACCTCTGAAAGATGCCTTTGATACATGATGCCATAAATAACTTTGTATAATCCTGAAGTAAGATTTGCATGCATGACACTTGCAGTTGAGTTGCATAAATAAAAATGACAGGTAGTAACAACTGTTTGAACAAAAATCAAAACTTTACGGGGACCCTTCTTGATCATCCTCAAGATTTTACAAGTCACAGTAAAGGATTTTTAAAAGTAAAAAGTTTAATTGCCACTAAAAAAAAAAGGTGTTAAATTGGTGTGTTTATCCTTCACACCATCTTCTAAGTTGTTAATCCGCTTTCAAGGTGAGGCAGAGTGAGTGACGAAAAAGAAAGAGGTGAAGAGGAAAAGGTGAGAAAAGAGAAAAAATGTGGAATGACAGACAGGAAACAGAAATAGATTGTGTGGAAAAAAACCAAGTTCAGTTTTCACTTTGAGTGACTCAACCGAAGAGAAGTGGAGACATTTAAGAGGAAAGAAACGATTGAGAAAATGAGACAGAAGACGAAAAGAGAGACGTGCCGTCAGCAGCTGAATACCAGGAAGGGTGTGTCCACTCACTAATCATGACCCCTCATTAACAGACCCCACGGCATTTCCCAGAAGGCATTGTGTTTACCCTTCCTGCTTCTGATAAAAGGGAAGGAGTAACTGAAAAAATGCCCTTTTAGGGAAAATGCCCCCAATGGATTTGTCATCACAGAAACAATTGTGTGTAGTAGGATGTTGTTCTATAAGTGTGAGTAAGACGTTTGATGTGATAGTCCAGCTGAGTCAAACTGTATATCAACTGTTCTTTGCGTAATACCAAAACACATATTTCTATAATGTCCCCAGACAGTTAAAACATTATCTAATATCCATCCAATGAAAATAATGTAATCATAGCAACCTAACATTGTATCACATGATGTTGAAGTCGTGTTTATTGAAGAGTCGGTATGAACGCGAACATTTTCTGAAAGCGATGTTAGCTGATGTTGTCAGCAATAGGGGAGGCCATGAAAGTTCATATTTTATATTATTTTATGTTATAAATATAGATATACAGTAATATTATAATTATTGTCGTATAGAGTTTTTCTTCGTAACTTTCGAATATGTCTGAGGAAAAACAAAATGTCCTCTGTCATTGTGCTTTGTTTTCACTAATGAGCCAAGAATATTGTGTACACGACTTCCCGTGTTGAAACCACAAGCTCACGAGCAGGCAGCAGTAGACACAATGTCAATTTCTTAGTGTCCAGTAGCAATAAGGAAATCCATACAGTTTATAGTTGAGTTATATGGACTTATACAGTCGTACGTCCAGTTGGATTACAAACAACAACAACAACAACAAAAGCCACACAACTAAAAACAAAGAGGTATCCAACTGGGACAACATGGGACAGACAACCCATGAAAATGTCAATTTAATGTACTGATCAAATCAGCACTGATGCATGAAACCAGTTTGCATTCTTGCATTTTAATTTTAAAACTTAGTTTGCTGAAAACATGTTAAAAAAGTTTGCCTCTCAATCTTTTCACAGCCCACAAGGCTTATTTACAAAGTCATTATTGGTCTAAACATCTGGATAGCAGATTCTGCTCGTTTGAATTTCTTTTCCTTGAGAGTCATTTCAGGTCTCCTGTCTTCATGTTTCTGGAAACCACTGCGTGAGAACATACATGTGCAGCTTTGTTTGTCCAGACCATGTTGAGAGGAAGGATATACGTGGTGACGCACAGTAAGAGATTAGCGTGGTGAGGAGAAGGACAAAGCCGGACACAGCCAGGAAACATGTTTGGTCTCAAACAGCAGCCAAGTGAATGTGTTTAGGTTAAGTAAAAGAATCACTCTGTTACCAAGAGAGCGTTTTAGAAAAGAAATAGACAAAAGTAAAAGCAGCATGAGAGTTTAACTTCACTGAACTAAACTAATAAAAACATGACATAAAAAGGAGATATAACAGCTGAATGAGCTCAAATACATGGCCGACACAGCGCGTGATAAAAGGAAGAAATGACCTTTAAAGATATTTCCGTTGGAGGAAGTATTCAGGGAGACCAACGACAGTTAACTGTAACATCCAACCAATTTGCCCTTTTCAAGAATATGATGCATCAGTTTTATTTATGTGAGAATTAATATTTTATCTATATGATACAAGTTTAATCAGAGATAAAAGGAGAACCCTATTTGCATTGCCCCTCTCATTCCTTACATCCTCATTTTCCTGTTGTGGTGATGGTTTAGACTCTTTTTGGTGGTGAAATAAGAAGTGCGCCTTATTCTCAGAGTCATAACTAACACAAATATCTGCTTTGAAATGATAGAAAGACACTTTCTAGGGATTCAGGCCTTTCCTCATATCCACCGTTTAGATGTTCCCTTCAGCATCGACAGTTGTCCAGTCAATACTTTCTTTGACACATTACTGAGGCTCAGAATATCACATCAATACGGCTGAATGAGAGTTTGCCTAAGGCACCAAAACACTGAACACCAGTGTGTTAGGTTCCTGAAGTGTTGTATATTAGAGAAGATAGATGTGATGGTGAGACAGAGACACACATCCACGTATTAGGAGCCCAGTGCGAACTGATAAATGGCATAAATTCGTCAAGTTAATTCAGTGTACAGAACAAGTATGTCTTGAAAAACGTAGTGAAGTTATTGAGTAAGAAGAAGAGGCGTGAGAAGGTTATTAGCAAGTGAGATTAAGACATTAGAAGGCTACTTTGTCAATAAATTTAGATTCAGTCGATATTTACAGGCGTTACACATACACTCACACTTCCATTCAGAGGTCCACAGTAAATTGCAATAAAAGATGCTCTTCTGTTTAATTAATTTAGTCTTGAAAGGAAACTAAACAAAGACAAAACACAAGAGGGAAAATAAAACCCCAACAAAGGGATGTGAACTAAAGACCAAAAACACTGTTGAGTCTTTGTTTGGGCTGATTTGTGGGGGAGCCGTGTGAAGAGGTCAGGGGAGGTCAGCAGAATACCAGATTAGGCCATTAGAGGGAGAAGACTTTGTGCCGGTATAATCCCCTCATCATAATCTCTCTTACTCCCTCCCTGCTGCTAATGGCTGGAAGACAATAAGATGCACTAATCTGTCTACGGGGACGGTGCAGGGCTGCTCTGAGATATCTACTGGAGTGCAGAGCACATATAGACTAAAATGTTTTGAAGATTACTTCCCTGGCATTTCTGCTTTATTAGATAGAGCCCAGTGGGGGGAGGCAGGGACCATGGGGGAGACAAAGTAGCAGAAAAGAGTGGGAGAGGCAGTGAGAAGGAATGAGAGGGAAAGCTTGAGTTTACTAGACTGCTGATTTTTGTATGCCTTATGCATTTTTATTTTGGTTAAATTGTGCTAAAATGGCCCGCAGGCACGAGCTGGTGATGCAAGGCAGTGAAACGTTTGCTAACTTGTAATCAATCAAAAGCCATTAATCAGATGAGGTGCAAGTTTGCTTTAGATTTTAGAAGTGATTTCACCAAATTTAAACTTCAATATGAAGCAGACGAATCTCGGGCTTGTCGGGTTGAATTTATAAAATGATGATGAATATATTTATTTATTTTTTTAGTTTTTTTGTTCTATTAATCTTATTTTCTTTGGTCTTTGGGCTTCATGTTTCTGCAATGACTTGCTGACATTTTATGTGGATGCATGTTTGTTTTTTTAGCTACTCCAGTCTTTGCACCATATGTCATTGCCCAATTCTATGTATGCAAGAATATTAAAGGGTTTCCAAGATTGTGGGGAAAAAATCCAGATGAGGAAACTTCTGTTATCAATTACTGGGTGGATTGTCATGACATGTTATCCAGAGGATGAATCCTATTGGCTTTGGTGATCCCCTGACTTTTCCTACAACGCCAACAGCAGGTTGCTTTGTCTCTAATGAGTGAATTGCCGTAAACTTTAAATGCAGACAGTCATGTTTTTGTGAACTTTGGTGATCCCCTCCAGTGCCGTCATAAGGGCAAAATGAAATTTGTCAAATACTTTGGTTGATCTCTTTGGATTCTTTTATAACCTCACAGCACCACCAATGTGGCTGTAGAGTCTTGTCTCTTTATTTCTTTGCATGGCGTTCAGACCAAAAATAGCCTCAAAAGAAATCATGGGTTGATGTAGATGTGAACTTTTTAAAAGGTAAGAAGACACAAGCCATGAATTTGAAGGCTTATCTGATGCCAAAACACTGCATAAAGGATTTTAAAACTACATTACTACAAATTCAAAGGTAAACAGTAGAATTACGTTGTTTATTTAATGAAGTAATCTACCAGGATTGTAGGCTGGCACTTTTTGTTTTCGCCAATGTCGTTGCCAGATGACGTTGCATTAAATCACAGCAAAAGTTGAGCCAGATTCACATTTTTTTTCGCCAAACAACAGCTTGCATTTGATTTGCCAAAGCCCACTATGCTGACACCTTTGTCCTTGTTGCTGATGTCTGGCATAAATGAATGTGCAAAACTGACTCCTCCTTCTCTCATGATCCTAGATTTGAATCCAGAACTGGTATCGGCAATAAAGCATTCACTGTGTTGCACCCAAACTCTCTTTTTATCCTGCAATTTGATGTGCTGTATTAAAGGGGAGCATAATAAAAACCGATCAGAAATTCAAAATGTCAAACAGTCCCTTCATGGTAAATGGCCTTTCCAATGGCTGATAAAGATGGACATCCTAAGTGGTTTTAATGTCAGCTCCTCTCTCCGTCTCTGTCTGTCTGTCTCTTTCTGTTTCTGTCTCTCCTTCATGCTACGCCAGTGGGTCAGAACCTAAAATGGGTCACAGGCCTATGTTTAATAGATCCCCATGCGACCACATTAGTGATATGCCTCAGCCCAGTTCCCATGATGGGGGGCTAAATGTTTCATTTAGGTCCCAGGCTGAAAAGGTTTAAGAGCCCTGGTCCTCAATGATAGCTAGACCTCGAGCTCAGCGGTGGCCTGTAAGGGGACCGCGAGTCCTTGGCCTTCACTCCGAGTCTCACCCTGGCACAGTGAAAGGGTCTGTCCACAGCTGATAAGTGGTTTTAATGTGATCTCCTCCCTCTTCTTTTTTGCTCCCTCTCTCCTCTCACATATTCCTTTCTGCATCCTCCCGTCACCCTTATTCGTTCTTTTACCCCTCTCTGCTCTCTTCTCTTTTCCCTCATCCCTCCCTATCACTTTCTGTCCTAGATGATGGCTTGGCTCCAGCTGTGGACTATGGGGCTTATGGCCATTATGTCCGTCTCTCTCGCTGTTGCGGGAGATTCTGGCCTTCCTGCGGTGGAAGGCAACTTTGAGATTGTGAAGAAAGAGTCCCATCCGGTCCTGATCAGGCAGAAGAGAGATTGGATCTGGAACTCTCTCTATGTGGAAGAGGAGAAACCTGCGCCCACCGCCTACAAGATAGGACAGGTAGGAAGATCCTCCTCGTGTTTCTGGTCTACTTCATATCTGCTTGAGTATTTTTTGTCATTACCATTCCGTCTTAATGCTGTAGCCAAGAATCTAGGGCAATAACTTGTTGCTAACCAGCTCTTTGATGAATATTTGATTGATTTTGCTAGAATACTCAGTTTATCTGTAGGAAATTTGCTGGAAGGGTGTTGATTTGAGTCGTCACTCCAGCTGGGGGAAAATTAAGAGACACTCAACTCACTTTTTCCTTTCGTAGCTGAAGTCGAGCCAGCAAGTGGAGGTGAAGAGCTTCAAAATCGAAGGTGAAGGAGCAAACACCATCTTCACTGTGGATCAAAAAGGAGACCTGTTTGTCACCAGATCTTTGGACCGAGAGGAGAAGAACGCGTACCATTTAACCGCCAGGATGTATGATGGGAACAACAAGTTGATAGAGGATTCTGGAGAGTTTGTTGTCCAGGTGACGGATCTCAACGACAACATCCCAGTTTTTCCCGGATCATATAATGGATCAATTACGGAGAGGTCCACGATAGGTGAGTAGTTACTGGCAAAAAAGATCATCAGCTGGTGATAACAGGTTGAACAGTTGCTCAATAGGTTTTTGTCAAATTGGGTTTATTTGTATCACCTTGCATATTTAAAATGAGTTTTATAGGCCCACAACATGAGTGTGTTCCTTCCCAGTCGCCAGGGAACAATGTTGGCATTGTGCATTTCTGCAAATCATGGATACGTTGAATGTGGACGTTTTTGAATTCGGTCAGATCAAGTGACGTCGTAGCTCTAGCAACCGTTATTGAAAGTTACGTGGTATAGTTACAAGTGTGAAAGTCGTCTCAAGGGTGGATGGGTCAAACAAACACAGGACTTTCACCCAGGGGACAGATTTTTGTGTCCCGTGTGAAACCAAGTCAATGTTGATTTAATGCTCGTTACATCACTTTATGTAAGAGAGCTACGCTGAGGACTGTTATTTATTCACGCAAGTTACAGTTGTTATCTGACATTGTTACGTTGATATTTATACACAAACCTAACCAATTGTTTCACGACATTAATCACGTTGCACTGTGCATTTCTGCAAACACAGGACTTTCACCCAGGAGGTCACTGTTTGTGTCCCAAGTGACACCAAAAAAGAGACACTGACTTTACACTTGTTGCGTAACAATACCTAAGAGAGTCCGCTACGACCGCTTGTTATTTTATTACGCTAGTTACACAAACCCTGATTTTTTTTCTTCTAACCTTAACCATGTAGTGCTGTTGATTGTTTCACAACGTTATACATGTGACATTGTGCATTTGAAGGATGATACTATGCTGATATAAAAAGAATAATGCCAACTATTGTTTTCTGGTGACTGGGTTGTTCGAAAACTCATTGCAGACCATGTGCCCACACCATAAATGAAGCAAATTCTTACTGGAAAAAAGTTTTTATTGCCACAAGTATTTGACATTTAACATCCAGGGATTTAATTTAATAATTAAAAATAGACTGAACTGTGAAAAGTGTGGGGACATAATTAAACAATAATGTCAACACCTGTCACAATCATTAGCACATCCTGCTGGGAAAAAAATGGCACATTAGTGACTGAAATAAAACAATCTTAGAACATAATCATGTTGTGTTAATCAACCAAAGAACATTTGGGTTGGACATTTTTGAAAAGCTGCATGATGCCTTATTGCTGATAACATTTTTCAACAATTCATGTTCTTTATCCAGGAACTAAAGTAGTTGAGGTGAGGGCAACCGACGCGGATGACCCCACCACTGCTAACGGAGAGCTCAGGTACTCTCTGACCCCACACGGAGAACTTTCTGCCTTCGAAATCGACAGCATCACAGGTAGGCTGGCTGCGCTGACGTCCGACATGATTGTTTCATCCTACAGCGGCATTGTCTTTTTCCTTAACAAGTTAATAGAGGCAGAGGTGTAGATGTTACAAACTATTTTTACTTGAATATGAGTCAGAGCTGACCTCAAAGATAACACCCTCTCCGTCTGTCTGTCTCTCTCACTGTCTCTCTGCAGGTGTGATCAGCTGCAAGATAAACACTCTGGACCGGGAAACCAAGAGCCAATTTGTAGTGGTGGTTAAAGCTCAGGACATGAGAGGAATGGCCTCTGGCAGCACATCCACCACCTCTGTCACCATCACCATCGCCGACATCAATGACAACATTGCTTCTTTCACCCGAAGTAAGAAATATTTCAGAAGGAAAGGTTCCAATCTGTTGTCCATCTGGACACAACACTTTGATCTTGATTTTAAGATCAGGGTTATTTATATGAACATATTTAGAGGAGCTATATTCACAGTGATGTCTGTTTTCTGTCTGCAGAGACGTATGAACTGCAAGTTCCGGAGGACCACAAGCTGAATGAGAAGATAGGCACTCTGGAGTTGGAGGACATGGATCAGATTCAGAACAAAGAGCCCATCTTCATCATTCCAAATGAAAATAGCAAAGTGTTTAGCATCGAACTCAGCAGCCCCAACAAGGATGGCAACCTCATGCTCAAACAGGTAGGAGGCGCATGTGGCAACAAATGAATAGACGATATCTTACGGCTAAAAACTTTTATTTTTTAGCATTCCTTGCTTTGGGTCAATTTGAGTCAATTTGGGTCAATTTTTTGTGGAAATACTGATTAATTTGGATCCCACAGGTTCCCACAGCCCTCTTAGATAGACTCCAGTAGCTCTTCACCTTTTTAAAAGATGTGATGGCTTCATTGTTTTTCTCTGTGAGACATGTGCATGCAAGTGTTTATGAACTTTATCTGTCCGCACCCAATCTCGCATACTACTGGAACCATCAGCCTGACTTTCTGTGCTCACATATGACTGTACGTAGGACCTCTTGTGTTTGCGGTGATTCACAATTTTAAAAAAAAGCTATTTCATTGACTAGCAAAACGGATTCCCGGCAAACGGCTAGGCTAAACAATAGCCTCACCTAGTCTGTTGTAGGCCACATGTTGACCAATGTCATGGCTCAAAAACTTACATTCATAGAAAAGTTTGGTCTCAATATGAACCAGAGCATCCACAGATTAAATCCATAACCAATATGTTATGATTCACTAAAGACAAGACAATAAATGTACTATACATTAGCATTAGCAATTTGTTATATTTAAACTTTCTCTGAAAGCCATGTACCCTTTGGCAACATGTAGGAGTAACCCTTGTAGAAGTAGAAGGTCCCCTACATTTTTTGGGGTTAATCTAAAATGAAATGAAAGTGGTTTAGGTAGTGTTACATACTCACACTTCCAGCCCCCAAAAACGGTGGGTTTAATGTTCATTTTATATTTTCATCTTTTTAGGTGTTGCTTTTAATTCCGAATGGTAGGAAACGAGCACAAACACAGATTTACATGACCGTATCACCAACATTATCAGCATCCGTGAGCTGAGCATAAGAATTAAGGCCACAGTGGCCTGAGAGGATTTCCATGACTTCAAGTATGCTAATGTTTCAATGGTAATGGTTTTCGGTCAAGACTCCCTAAACAAATGCAGGACATTGGACGAATAACACTAGAATTCAAACCCAACAGTGCTGGCCTCCTCCTGGTGAGGAGAGCTACTTATGCCTGCAGGAATTCTAGCAGGTTTACTTCACTGGATTGTGCTCCTCAGATAAAGTATTTGGGACATGGGAGAGCTGAATATGTATTCTAATGAACTGAGCTCTGTAATAGCACGGCCTGGAATCGAATCGCACCACAATCTTCTCTCTGCTCGACTCGCCCCTCAGCTCTGTAGCCCCTCTCATCTTTCTCACCGGCTGTGTTTACTCGTGCAGGGAGTAAGCCAGCTATCGTCCTCACTGCGGTTAAGGTCTTATTCTTGTTAAGCTGTTTACACATGCCTTTGATACCCTGCGACTGAGTATTCCTGTTACCATGAATAATCCAGTTAACAGAATATTCCTGCCTACCTGTGGTGTCCCATCCACAGATGAAAAAGTCCGCCAGAAACAACATTTAACCGAACAGTAGGCTATTGCTTATACAGGGCAAAGAAACGATAAGCAGAAATGTGACGGTAAGCAGAGCTTGCTGCCATATATCTGTTGACATGAAAGAGCATTCGTAACACTGTGCAAGTCTCAGTTCGTGCAGACTTTGAAGAAGTGAAAGGAATAAGGTGTTTTCATGCATGAAAACATGTTTAACATGGAGGGAAAATATGGCACTATGCTGTGTTTCTTAAATCCAGAGTTTGAGCTGAACCAGGTTGTGACATTTAGAGCCTTTTTACACCTGCAATCGACAGCTGTTTTTGGTGAACAGACGCAGGTGTGAATGCACTGGGGATGACGATGTGTGGTGCATTTGAGCAGCAAAAAAAGAGAAGTGCAAATGCACTTGTGTCCCCAGTCTAAAAATATGAGCAAGATATATGGAAATATACACTTTTGAGGAGGATTCAAAATGTGGAATGTCACTTCTTCTATGGATATTAAGTGTTTACTGAAGTAGTGAGACATTAAAGTTAAGGCTCATAAACATGACATTGATAAGGTTTACTGCATTTTGATAAGAGAACAGAGTCATTTAGGATTTCCAGGTGCATCAGATGTAGACACAAAAATGAGCCGAGACGGTTTCGAACCCTTTGGGAAACAAATAATCATCTTAGAAGTCCAGTGGAACTGCTCTTTTAAATACTGTAACTATTGACAGCATTAGTACAATAATAAAACATTGCTCAGTGTGCATATGTAGCCCCTTTGGCCCTCATCAACTCCTCAACACAACATTATTTGGCCATATAAACAAGGATGACAAGAGCTCCAAATATATGCTCAAAATGAAATCTAATTCTGATCTGATTAGTACTTATTCTTGACTTGCTGTGGACTGAATTCCCGGTTAACTCTTTCTCGGACTCTCAGGCTCTGGACTACGAGACGACGAGCAGCTACACTTTCACCGTCCAGGTGCGAGAAAACCTGAGAAACCTGCGTTTTCCTGCGGACAACACGGGCAGTGCTGTCACCACAGCCCAGGTAAATATCCAACAGGACGTATGTAGCCTCTAAGCCATCACCCTGCTTTTTATCAATGTGTGACAGTATGCATTGAAGAGACGAAGAACAAAAACTTTCATCCCAACAATTCCAGTCGATTTAAATCTTTTAATCTTGACCAGACGTGCAGAAATAACAAGCTGTCTTTCAACTGAATTCATTTGAAATTGACAGGTGAACATCAAGGTGTTGGATGTAGACGAGGCACCGCTCTTTTCGCTGCCCATCTACACATTCACCGTGGTGGAGGAATGTATTGTGAGCAACATAGGAACCGTCACAGCCAGAGATCCTGACAAAGCCAACAAGAGCATTCGGTACGATGCTGTGCAAAACAATAAAAAAATAAATAATGCAACTAATCCTGCGTATAACTGTTACCCTGATCTCTTGCTCTCTCTGGTTAGATACTCCATCTTAGACAAGGACTGTCCTATCAGTATCAACCAGTTCACCGGTCAGCTGTCCACCCTGAGGATGCTGGACAGAGAGCTAGAGGCCACACACATGTTTCAAGTTAAAGCGCAGGAGGAGCCAAGTGGTGCGTCACACACACACACACACACACACACACACACACACACACAGGAATTCAGTTTATTAATCCTGTTTCTTTTTAACAAAAGAGCCTCAGATAAATAATCGAATCCATGTGTTTTCTCCAACAACGGTAATGTGCAAACAGGGAAGGAGTTAGAAAGGCCAATAAAAGACAGCGTGTTCTCTCATTGTTCACTGAGCAGCTCCTCTGGATTTATCGAGGGATGGAAGTCTAATGCATTAACAGGGATTTTCTTTATAGATTTAACACATTGCATCAACACCTGGTCGACCCACACGGGAAGGAGCGAGAAAGCAGGAAAAAATCACATTAGTGGGTCTCTTTGTTCACTTGCAGCCTCCAAAACCAAACTATATATTTTTAGACCGGCAATGAATGAAATCTAGAGATCTATTTTAGAGGCTTGTCACGATGTTTAAGGAACACAATGGTCCCCTGAGCTTGACAAGGTCCTCGATATATACAGTACATGTGCTGTACTAAAGATAGTTTTAAAATCTCTGAACAAGAGGCAGGAAAGAGACCCACACATTTATCAAAAGACCAACACTGAAAGCGTCAGTGATGTAAAATAAGTGTAAAAGCTGCTTTAATGTGACAAAAAACAACAACTGCCAAACAAAAAGATCACGAATAGAAATCCTTTCAGGCACTTGACCTTAATCGGCTCTATCAAAGGCAGAGATACACAAACCTGATCAGCTCCATACTGTCACATCAGCCCGCTAAGGTAGATGACAAACAAGCTGTGGGAAGTGAGCCGTGTAAGACAACAACAGTAAGAAAGTACGACATTAAATAAACAAAAACGTTGATAAAATATGGAGAATTTGTAAAAATGCTTTGTAGTAATTGATTTTACTTATGACCACCTTTGTGATATTTTTAAAAAGATTAAGAATTGATTGTTTGGAATGTAATTGTTTCTCCTGTTGGCCCACCTGTGTTCTTCAATCTCTCTTCTAACCGGATGATTTATTTTCTCTCCACATTGAGGACCACATCAGCATTAAATAAGATTACGTTACATCACGAGAGTTACATGTAAGGGTTTCTTTTCATCCTCCAGCAAACGTTTGCTCTAAAGAAACCCTGCAGGCAGCTCACAGATATGTCTGTTTCCACCGTCAGCACATTGTGAGACACGATATGATGATGAAAATGTAATGACGTGATTATCCAGGCCACAATAATTCACAAAAGTAGTCAGATAATCATAAAAAAAGTGCTTCAAACTCTTAAAAATTGCACTAAAATCACTTTCCCTTACTTTTAGTTATTAAGAAACAAATATTTATATTGCATCAAAGATGGGACACACAACTTTCTATAGTGAACATCCTTTTTAGTGGGAAAAACAAACGATCATAAATAAAGTAATCATGAATAAATAAATAGGTTTTCCAGCCATCAACTTATTGTGTGTTTTTAATCTTTAACATCGTCGCACACAAAACTAATCACGTGCTGCCGTCTGTCCTCTGCAGGTTTGGAGTCATTTGTGAAAGTCAACATTATAGTTCAGGACATCAATGACAACACGCCTGAACTGACTGTGGATGAGATCTTCGTATGTGAGAACGACCTCACGGACACGGTGAGAAAAACACAGTATTTACAGCAGGTTGTCTTTATTTTAGTAGATATTGACAGTAACTTTATTGGGTTTGGACTTCATGAATACCCGACCTTCAGTTGTATTTTGTAAAACAGGAAGTTCACTAATATCTGTGTCACAACCCGAAGACCAGGGTGGCAGAAAAATAGACGTATTACAGTCCAGTTGCCAGGAAAGAATGTTGGCATTGTACGTTTCTGCAAGGCACAGATACATTGAATGTGAACGTTTTTGCATTCGGTCAGAGCAAGAAATGCAGTATAAAGACAGTTATTGAAGGTTATGTGGTATAATAACATGTACTAAGGCCAAGAAAGTCCAGTCACAACCTTTGAAAGATGGGCAAATGTAATATGTCAACCCTATGTGCATTGCATTTTAGTAACTGGGATAATTTCCCAAACAATATGTGCTGCAGACAGTTAGACTGCACTGGGTATAAACAAGTTTGTATACAGGATGAATTAATGTTTCTGTTTTTCCTCAGGTGATAGGAACCTTGCGAGCCTCAGATAAAGACGACCAGCCGGCATCCTTCGGTTTCAGCCTGGCCAGTGAGAGCTCCAACTTCTCCATCAAAGACTATGGCAGTAAGTCTTTGTGTGCACCGAGCATATATTTACCTTTATATTTCTTGCTCTCAAGAAGAGCCGGCCTTGGCACTTGTTGCTATGCGACAATGGGAACTCCATTTGAGGCTCAGTGCTTTGTTGCTTAAAGTTAAAAATTATTTTAACTTCTCAAAGCGTGTTTTGGTTCTCCCAGCCAGACGGGGGATTTAGAAAGCCTGTCTGGGACCGTAAGTGCTGTCTAGAATGCACAACAGCAAATATTGAAAATAATGAGAGCAAGTGGCTCGGTGGAGCTGAAGATGTATTCTAAACTCATCCCAGCTCAGGATGTTAAAGGAACATGCCACACACAAGGCTACTGTGGTGCTTTCTTTCAATAAAACCGTGGAGAGTAGAGGAAAAACTGCACCAACAGGCCGAGCCTTGTGCATGAGAGAATGCACATTTTGATATGTGTTTATTGTTTTGATAGATTTAGGGCTTTACAAAAATGTTCTAAGACATAACAAAAGCTTATTTACTAAACAATGGTGGCGCTAGAAGAAAAATCTCCGCAGTCAGAAGGATAGATCACGTGTTCATACAAAATCCCCAATCGATCTGGTAGGTATTGAAATATTTCATTGTGAATTGTGCACGATATGAAACGTCAGAGGATCACCAAAGTCTTGGTGTTTCATCTTCTGGGCACCGTGGATATCTGTGCCGAGTTTCAAAAATATGATTATTTCAATACGGATCCAAGCAGTAGACTGACTTTTATTATTCTATATGCTATGGTGTTTAAAAAGAATGGTGGCCAACCTGCATCACATTATCTTTTCTTCAACCTAACAAAGTAGTTTTGTTGCTGAAACCTAACGAAGGAAATTTATTTTGAAAGGACTGTATGTTCTGTATGTAACAAGTCGAAACAAGTTGCTGGCTTTCGTAGGAAAACGCACACAAAATGAGAAGGAATTTTTTCACAAGACACCAACACGAACCGCTGTATGAGGATACGTTGAGTTACATATATTTCTGTTTGTCAGCTGTATTCTTGGCCTCTTTGCTGGCTCCATCATACTCAACATAAAAACAGAGCTTTCTGTTACCAAAAGATTACTCTAAATTCAAAGCAGCGTCTACAATCAGTAGATCCGCTGCCATTTGGGAGTGAAAATGTGTAGATATAAATATGCAAGTTAGAAAATGTCAGATCGAATAAACAGACTGTGACACGGATGATGGTGTGAAACCCTGACGGAGGCATTTGCTTTGATCCAGACATTGATATTTAGGCAAAGGTTGGTGCTCTGTTGCGTCAGACATCCAAAGCCTATTTGGGTTATTCAGCTTAGGACACAAAATGGCACAAGTAAAACAGTTTTCATCATTTTTGATCATCACGTAGCGTTATAAAACATGAAAGCCGGAGGAAAAGAGTTACCAACTGTTCGAGTCAAATATTAAAAGTCTGAATAGATGAAAGCCTTAGGTAGTCAGATGAAAGATTTAGGTGAAGTGTTACTATTTAATTTAAGTGAAACTTGAAACGCACTGAAAGGAAGATAAACAGAGGTATGAACTCATCCATTTCCTCTCTGCTCGTGCCTGGAGGGGTTGACATGTTGAACTGATGGAGAAGGAGGAAGAGGGAGATGGAGGAGAGCAAAAGGAAAGACAGATGAGGCAGAGGTGGAAGAAAAAGATGAAAGGAAGCGAGACGGAGAGATCGGGATTAAGGGAGACGGGTAACATTAAAGTGAGACCGTGTTAAAATGCAGGCAAATATAAAAGGAGAGAGAATGATGAAGAGCGATGAACAAGAGAATAGAGTTAGGAAAAGAGAGAGGAGAGAAAATGAGAATGAGTTGGAGTAGAATGAGATAAAATAATAGAAAGGAGAGAGGAGATGAGGACATGATGAAAGTAGGAAACTTCATTAAATGAAAGGAGAGAAAGAAACAGAGGAGAGAAAGATAACACCAGGCGGCAACCTCCGGTTCTAATGAGTGAAGCCATTCAGAAGTGTCTTCAAACCTGCATTCTCTCTGCTGACCACCAGGGGGCGACTCCTCTAGTTGTATAGAAGTCTATGAGAAAATGACTCTACTTCTCTCTTGATTTATTACCTCAGTAAACATTGTAAACATGAGTTTATGGTCTCAATCTCTAGTTTCAAGTCTTCTTCAATACAGCATGATGTTCATTTAGTACATTATGGTCCATTTAGAGTCAAACAGACCATAAAGCAGGGGATAGTACTCCACTTCTTATATACTGACTATGGATAATAGAGATATTGATAAACGAGAAGGGGGAAGTGAACTAGGAAGAAGGAGGGACAGAAAGTCAACAGCCGAAAAGGAGACAGATAGTTTGATAAGTGCTGGTTGTTCGTGTGAACCTCTGTTCTCCCCTGTGCCTCCAAGAAACATCTGACAGCACCTCACCTCACACCACTTAACACACACACACACATGCAACAAGAGCTGCAAAGTGAAGGCTTTTAAAATATTCATCCACTACCAGCTCTTTAAAACTTGCTTTCATTACTCGGGACCCTGAAAGACACAACAGTCGGTGTAGCTGCACAGCGAAGTGACAAGTGACTCCGTGTTCAGACCACAGAGCCACAGCGAGCTCAGTGCATTAATAGACAAGACAGAGGAGGAGATGAGGAGAGACTAATGGGATGCGGGAAGAGAGAGATGGAGAGAACAAACAAAAGATGTAGAGAGGACAGTGGGAAATATAGAGAAATCCAGAGGGACGGATTCAAACAAAGAAGGAGCGGGAGACGAGACGGGGAAGAGGGACGAGATGAAGGGAGGACAGAAGCTGTTTTCATCTTTTATTCAGTTAGTTAAGGCTTCTTCTGTACGCATGTCCTCCCACACACACCGTCAGCAACTGCATGTTGTCTTGGAGACAACAATGGAAACTTGATCACAGTGAGGTGTCTGTATAGATAGTTTTTTGAGAGTCAGACATGTTGAACTTTCAGTAAACGGGTCAGTTTACTTTATCTCCCGTAAAATCCTTCCATGCAAATAGTTTGAGAACTGGATTTGAGGAATCCATCTGTGCGATGTGGGAAGTTTTTTGTGCCGTAGACGACATAGCTAATGAGATGACTGGCAGTCAGCTATTGTGGCCGTGATTTTGACTGACTAGTATGTTTCCAGCCAACCCGGTCTTACCAAATGGCGTCACACCAATTTCTTAAGGCATTTTGGGATGTCGGTGGAGTCAGAGCTCATATTAAAAATCTCTCAGAAGGGATGAAATTATTGAGCCAAGTGATTTCCCTTCTTTCACAAGACAGATATAATTCAAACTCAAAGTCCAATATGTGCACATGTCAGCAACACCCAGGTTGTTTTTATTCAAACCAGAGCTATTTCTCTGTCTGAAAGTTCAGCAGAGTGCGTCTTGGTATGTTTGAGTGTTCGCAAGGGTCTTTCCTGCCATTGTGTTTCTGAAATTCCTCCAGTGGTGGGACATTGTGGAGAAAGGCTCTCCCCGTCGTCTCAGCAGGAAACTTCTGCCTGCCGGGGGTTTGAGTAATGGCTGTATTGTTGGTCAGGCCTGCAGGGAAGATGTAGCTCTGTTCTGCTCAACATGTTCGCTTCTCTATAATTTCTATTCTTTTTTTTGTTTTGTTCTATTCCCTGTTGGTGCTTTTTGACTTTACGCTCATTGTGTATTTTGAGAAACCCTTTTTGTCTGGCCACCAATTAACCACATTATATTCAAATGATTAGGGGCCATATTGTTTACATTGTCAACAATATTCCCCTCTGTAAATGAGATAACAGTCTGTCGAGAATTTAAAAAATGTTTGGCCTCATGTAGGCCACTATTTCAGGTTTTTTAAGATGCTGCCATTAGCTATAATCCTAAATGACTAAAATCCTAAATGCACGAAACTGACAAGATAATCACAAACGATCTGTCTGCCTTCATGTGACGACTCTCTTCTTCTTCTTATATCTTGCAACAGACGCTCGCTGTATAAATAGACTTTAAAGACTATATACAAGGCAGGTGAACATTAGATCCGCTTCAGTGAGACAAAGTGATGACTCAGACAAATTAGACATGGATTTTGCAGGAAAGGAAAAGGGTAAATTTGTGTTGAGGTGTCATTTTGTACACTCACCGTGTGTATTTATATGCTTCTTTCTAAAAGACAGCACAGCAGACATCACGGTGAAACAGGGGCCGTTCAGCCTGGATGACCCCAAGGATTACAACGTGGATGTGAGCATCAGTGACGGAGGGCAGCCCGTCCAGACCAGCATCACCAAGCTGGCAATCAAGGTCTGTTTGTGTGTTTTTGTACAGGCTGTTCTCATCCACTGTTCCTATTTATACCTCGGAAAAGTAATACCCTGGTAATACTGAGTCAAGACATGCAGAGCTGCCTCTAAGGAAGTCAGATGATATAGTCAAACACCGGACTGGAGACTGCAGTTTCTGTCCTGTGTGAAACCTTCGTTTGTAACATAGCCTACGTGTTTGAACCTAAACCACAATCTTTTTCTAAACCTAACCAAGTAGTTTTGAGTTTGTTGTACATTCTTTATTTAGGCAAAAGGCAAGGTTGGTAAACTTGAGAAACTTGCAAAAGTATGATAGATTTCCCAAAATATTATCTGACAGAAAAACAGGTCCAATGTTGCCAACTCTTTTCCAACGCACGTAGCTAGCGGCACAAGCTCCAAAAAATATGCTGAATCAAGCAAGACAGTCGCCAAATCGGTAACACTGACAACTCTTTCCTTTAGGCCTCTCTCCAAAGCCACTCCCCTAAAATGATCATCTTTAGACAGGCAGGTAGACAGACCGTTCAATCATTACATTCAGGTCGAATGAAACCTGTTACCTTGATTTATTTTGTTGTCAGAGCATTTGATTAATTCATTGCTGTCAGGATCTAATGAGAAGTTCAACAAAAATATTGAAAATGTTTTTGAAGAAGATTACCAACCCTGCCTTTAAATACTGTGAAACTCTGAATTTCTCCTCACATGCAGTGTATAGCTTAGATTTCACTAATGCAGTTACTGATTGATTGTCCTGTCTGTTGTAGTCGTGTCGGTGTGATGCCAGGCGGATTCCTACGCAGTGCAAAGCTGGCGCTCGGAGGATGGGAGTGAGCGTTCACGCCCTGATAGCCATTCTGCTCTGCATACTGACCATACTCGGTAAGTTTACATTTCTTTTCCTTTCTTCTCTTCCTCGCTTTGCTCCTCCCTTTTCTCCTCGCTCGTTGCTCAGATTGTCTGCACAGCTCTTCTCAGAGATCATCTGTCAGGGCTGTGGAGATAATCCTTTTTTCTTAATATTTCTAAGAGTGCCTGAAGAAACTTTCTTTTTCCGGTGACCATTGTTTCATCTTCAAGAGCACCTTGAAGGCCAACTCTAACAATTCCACACATCAAAGTCTTTTACTGCATATGTGAAAAAAGTTGAATAAACTTTTTGTGACTCCAAAAAGAGGTGTGCTGAAGCTAGTGTATTGCCTCAAGTGATGTCACTTGAGTCCACGTCAGTTGGAGTTAAAGACTAAGTTTGGAAATAAATAAAAAATTCAAAGTAGATTAGTTAAAAAGAAGTGAGCTCACCAGACCTCCTCATCTCTTCTTGAGGCTATATGCTACATTAGCCGCTACCAGCAGAACACACCTGAATCTTCAAAAGACCTGTAAGTGGTCAAGTTGCATTGTGGGTAATTAAGGTGCCAGGTTTTTGACAAGGAATAAGAAAGCTGATATCGCTGGTTCTGCTGTATAATCTTGTCTACACTGTCCATCGTGAACATATGAGCACAACTCTAAATCGCTGCAGTGTGTAAGATTTAGTGGTATCCAGTGGTGAGGTTCCAGATTGCAGCCAACTGAATACCACTTCATTTCCCACCTTCAGTGAGAAGGTGATTGCTGAAAGAGGTGACAATTGAAACTTGGAAGTAGGAAATCTGTTGGAAGTAAACAAATCAAACGCAAGTTTTCCAAACAAGCAGAACAAATAAAATGTGCCACTTCCTGTGAGGCTCTGGGTTTGTTTGGCGTTCAGAAGGGAGACGGCGCACTGGGAGTCAGTTTCCTGTTTCTGTGTCACATGGGTTTCACCACTGCCCCGCCCCTTTAAGAGACTCGCAGCAGGTCTATGAGTCTATTAGCTCAACACAGATTATGACCCATTCTTTCTCTTCATAGTCACCAAAGTAAATATTGGACCCATTTTTCACAAGCCACATGTCTTCGGAACATTCTGACACTGAAGTAACATTTTTCACACGGACAAATGAGGAGAAAATGAACTCTGTTGGAGACCTTTCTCCGTCTCAGCAACACACTATTACAAGATCGGACGTTGACTAACGCACTAGCGAAGTCATTTTGCTAATCATGGTTGAAAAATTATGTTATACACGTAATCTTAAACGAGGAAGTATAAAGACCCTAAAAACACACACAGGGACGGTGGGAGGGGAGGTGGAAAAACAGCGATCTTTCAGCCAGGAGACCGCTGTGAAATGAGAAGTCAACGTTGATTTATTTGTCACGTAACTTGTATACTTCAGTAACGACACTTCTGTCGTCATTTCAACCCAAAAAGCGATCTTTTCCTAAACCTGACTAAGTAGTTTTGTTGGCTAAACCTTGCTGAGTTGTTCGCTGTGAAGATGGAAGTTTACTTTAAAAAGACATGCGGAAATTGACACGTGTTGCTGGCTTTCGTAGAAAAATGCACGAAAAATGAGGATTAACTTTTCGTAAATTATCAAACGAATCGTATGAAGATACGCTGGGCCGTTATCCGAGAAAATATCTAAATACGTTTTGCAAATATAACCCAATGTGCTTTCATACATTCACGCAACTCTCAGGTGGGACACGACCACGCCTACTTAGGGGACAGGAAGTGTAAGCTTGTAATGCATCGTCTTTATAGTAGAGCATCTTTGAAGACATGTTTGTAGTTCGAATCAGTGATGGAAAGCAGAAAAACAAACATTTCGTTGATTGTTTGTGAATCTAAGTCTTCTTAAACCTGCAGAGGTTTAATCTCTGAGAAGAGATTCATGACGATGGCATCGCCGTTGGATGCAAAGCTCCAGCCCTGTGTGAGTGGGGCATCTACACACATCCACTTGCCCTTGCTTTGCGATAACTAAGGTTTGCGTTTTGCGGGGAGCTTTTCGCCCCTCCCTTTGTTGTTGGTTTTATGAATAATGCAGCGACGGATGTGGAAATAATGCCTGTGGTTGTGAGCTCAATATTCTCTTTGATACCTTCGCCCCCTGCTCCTTTTTCTTTCTTTTTTTTCTGGGGGTAAAAAAAAGAGACACTTGTCATGTTGGATGAGAGGCAAGTCAGCGATAGTTGGCCAAACAAGAGGGAGCTGGGATGAAAAGTGCCAAGGAAAAAAAAACAAGGAGAAGTTAAAGATAAAGAGGGATGGAGTGACAGATGGAGACCGTATATCTAGACTGAGATACGGGAGATGGAGAGGGGTGCAACAGGCCGACAGATGAGAGGAGAGTGAGACGGTGAACTGAGGTGGAATGAGACCGACTGAGTGACAGAGAGAGACAGAAAGAGGTTAAAGAAGAGAGATGCCGAAAGAGGAGAATTGTGGGAAAAAGCAGCAGAAGAATGGGAGCGGTAATGAGAAGAGTTTATCAGGTCTTTAGGTGCCGTCTGCTTATCAAACACCGCCAAACACTCAACCTATTAACTATTAATATACTCCTTCACTATCACGCCTTTTCCCCTCTGTTTTTTTCCCCTTCATCTCTCTCTTCCTCTTTCTCTTCCCCTCTGGGTCTCTCTGTCTCTCTCTTTCTCTTTATCAAACACCCCCAAACACAGGCCAGATTAACTATTTAATGCACTTGTCATTATCTGCCAGGGCCCAAAGCAATTTACCGTGCTCCCTATTCACAGACGCATTTTCTCACAAGAACTCGGGTTTGACACACGGAAATAATTTTTTTTTTCTCAGTCATTTTTTCTACAAAGAAAGGGCTTCTTCTTCTTCTTTTTTCTTCCTCTTTTCTCTCCCCTCTAAGTCTGATATCGCCAGAGCTTATTAAACTGCAGAGCATGTGTTGTAAAAGATTAATCTGTTGGTTTCCCAAGCAAACTTAAATTAGTCCTGCTCACCCTCGACTAAAAGGCATGGCTAATGCTGCCCGTCCGCTGGGAGAGAAAGAGGTTCATATCGGGACCGAGGCTCGGGGCCTAATCTAATGTCAAATGTACCCTTCTTCCCCTCAGCTGTCTCCTCTCTTGATTTCCTCAGCCACGACTTCTCCCGTTTCTTGCACTTCCTCCTTCCCTCAATCGCTGACAGCTCTCCTTATTTGTTCCTCTTTTCCTTCTATTCTTTCTCTTCCTCTTTCCTGCTTCCTTGTCCTCATTACCTCATCTCTCTGGCTACTGAATTTTGGGGCTTAAGCAAGAACAAGAAAAACTTTTATCCCACTTTATTATCATGTTTCTTAACTCGGACGAAAGAAATGCAACGATGGTATTGCAACCCTCCTGTTTTCACCAGATTTACTTCAAATAACCTGTAAAAGTCTATATTTTATGCATCTATAGACTCAAAATCTCTTTTATTCCTTTGACCTTTTTCCCAATTTTCTTTACAGTTAAGCTTGTAAATGATTGCTGGGCCTATTATAACTAGGACTTGGGCGTTGATTAGACCAGGCGATAAAATCACACTGGTGTTGCTGTCTTTTAGTCTCATTGGGATTATTTTAAACGTGTTTATTCTTTATAACTTTGACTGTTCTTGTTGCCCACATAGCCTGTCTTTAAATCAGCCGGGCAAACTGCATTCGATAAATGTCCATGCACTCAATAAGTGCTTCTTTCTGGATTTTAAGTCAAAAATAAATAGTTGGTGGACTTTTCAACATCTTAAAGTGTGTTCCCACCAAAATGCGAAATACTTCCCTATGAATATTATATGTCTAGGGCTTTTATTGTGAAAGGTAAGAACAGAAGGAGTGGATCTAGTTTGTGCTGCTTTTGTCAAGGTTGAAAGGAGTAATAAAGTTTGCGTCTTGGTTCGGTCTCCAGAGCCTCCGTGTTGTTGTTGTTTGTGTGCAGCTCAACCCGTTCAACATGATTGGTTGAAAGCTGAAAACTGTCGCGTAATATTCACTTTCTGTGTGAAAGTATTCGTGACAACAACAACAGTTAAGGCCCTTTAGGGTTCGAAACAACATATTGGTCTGGCTTAAAATAACGCTTGTAATGTGACGTACGCTTCGGACTTTAAGACGTGTGACATCATCAGTAAACATTACTCAATTTTTGGTTCCACACGGTACTCCTGAGTAAAGGTCCTCAGGCTACACAGACAAGATTCATAATCCCTGCAGCTGCTCGCCTTCTTTGTCACGTCAACAAAACATTTTCTAATGCCTTTGTTTTCTTATGCTCACATTCTTGTGTTTGCTCTCTTTACTTCTTCCTGTGTTTCCCCTCTTCACCCACTTTTCTCTCTTTCTCAATTGTTTATTTCTTTGTCACCTGCCACATCCAACTTTCCTTCCCTTTCCTTTCCTTCTCACCCCCCTTCGTTTTGCTTTCTCATTTGCACTTCCTCTCTTGTATTTACTGAATCTCTCTTCCTGCTTCTTACGCTCCCCCTTTCTCTCCGTCTCTCCTGTGTTGTCTCTGGCTAAGTGGATTCATCTGAGGTTTTCATGCTCGAGGCGAAACGTCTCAGACACCTAAAACCACCCGCTCCTCATTCTCTCCCCTCATTCTTGCTCTGTTTTCTAGTCTCAATCCCTCGTTAGTGTTCCACTTTCCTCACTTGTTTCTTGCCCCCATTCTTTTTTTTCCGTTTCCATTTTCTTGGCCTAATTCTCTCTCGTTTTTTATATTTACACTGTTGGTCCAGCAGGAAAGATGGCAGGACAAACTGTGGAGGTTTTCCATGTGCAACGAAGTGTTTTACACTGTTCCTCTTTTATACATGGCCTATACATTCATCTATTTCCAATCAAAACATATAGAAGTTTTCCTCCATCCCTAATATTGCATTATCTTGTGTCAAAGATGATCCACAGAATGAACATGTTCTAAAACAAAACCGTCCTCTGCTGCTTCTCAGTCATAGTGATCCTGTTTGTGATGAGGAAACGCTACCAGAAGGATTCTCTGGCCAGTCTGAAGAACAGCGGGGAGATTCACGAGCAGCTGGTCACGTACGATGAGGAGGGAGGAGGAGAGATGGACACTAATGGGTACGTAGAAGAAGAGAAAGAAGAAACAACCTCAGAATATAACTGATATGTGCTGACACAGTTTCCAAAGGGGAACACTCCCCATCCTTTAACCATTGACACAAAACAATAATTATGAATTTAATGTCAAACGATAAAAGATTTGTTGTAGATCTAAATGTTTTTCACTTTAATACTCTTTATGTTGCCTGCATCTTGATATTTATATATTTTTAAATGCAGTTCAACAAATATTTTCATTTTATACGTTCTCTATTAATGTGTAATTTATAGATGCTCTACTTTTATTATTTTGCACTTTATATTTAGAAAACCATATACTCTATTAACCCTCTACATTTGCAATATTTATTTTCTTTGCTATATCTGTCAATTTGATGACCCAGTTTGCCCAAAAGAAATGATTAAAGTTTAATCTAATCCAGATCTAATCGTATCTATATTTAATAGTACTAAAACCATACATAATCCCTACACTATCCATAGTAACAGCACCGTACTGCATGCTGTCTGAAGTCACGATGGCTAAAGGAAGTAAAGAAGTGAACATAAGCAGCAGAAGAAAGAAATATTATATTTCTGTTCTGATACTATAACCTATATTTAGATTGAAAGCTTTCTGAATGATTATGTTTTGAAAAGATACAATTTTACGTCCTAGTTGTGAAATAGGATTGAATATTATATCAGATAATCTTAGGTTATGTTTTAATTGCACTTTTTCAATGTTTTTTGTCTTTTTTTGGTCACATCTACTAACACGAGTGTGCATTTAACAGCAGATGTGACATGTTTGATAGACTTATTTCAAATGACAAATTCTCAGAGTTCACCAGTAAACATTGAATTTAATTCCTCTCTCTTTTAGCTACGATGTCTCAATCCTCTCTTCCGCTTGCCACGATGGCTCCCTGCTCCGTCACCCGGACCACCACCCCCACCCGTCTCTCTACGCCATGGTGCAGAAACCCCCCCACCACGCACAACCCACCGCCTGTAAGGGCGACATGGCCGTGATGATCGAGGTGAAGAAGGACGAGGCGGACCACGACAGGGACGGCTTCCCATACGACACCCTCCACATCTACGGCTACGAGGGACCAGAGTCTTTAGCCGGAAGCCTCAGCTCTCTGGGGAGTTCCTCCACGGGTTCGAACTTGGATTACGACTTCCTGAACGACTGGGGTCCGAGGTTCAGGACCCTGGCCGAGCTGTACGGTGTGGACGCACCTGACTACTACCATCAATACTGATGGAGACCATCTGCTAATAAGCATATAGGATGCCAAAATACACACACACACACACACACACACACACATCGAAAAGAGCCATAAAAACACACTCACACATAGCCAAATGTATGTAGGAAATATACACACTCACACTCGTAGAACCAGGATTTGACGCCGTCCGTTTAGTTTCTTTCCAAGAGCTTCGGTTTTGGTTTCTGGAGAGCTCTTATACTGACGATATGGTGCCCTTTGTCTCCTCCTCCATCCGAGGAGATGTTGGAAAGATTTTTAAAAGTAACACCAGGACATGACGCCATAGGAGACAGTGAGAACCAACTGCCTCACAGATGTGCAAGAGGATCGATTGTTGGCGACAGCGTGAGATCCACACCGTGAGGATGCTTTTAAATTTCTGTCACAGTGTTGTGAAGTCTGACATCGTAACCCTTTTATCACCTGAGAAGATCTGAAAGTCCAAATCAGACGAAGCTCCACGGCGGGCCATTCAGAGTTTATCTTGGATAGTTGATGGTCACTGCTGGCCAGATATTCAAATTCTTTACGCCCGTTTGCATTCAGTTTATGTCTCAAAACACCATTTTGCATCATTTTTTAACCACCGTTGACTGTACTGCAGAATAAGTTTAGTATCGTGTCTCTTAAAATGTGTTATTTGTACGCACCTATATTAATCGACACGTACACCTACCAATGACGCATATTTCTTAATATATGCATAATCTACATTTGGATCTAAATAGACATTTTAAACTATTTTTAACTACAAAAAAAGAACAAAAAGTATGCATAGTCTTATTAAATCAAATGTTTACGTCAACTTGTCATCTTGATATGAGCTTTTTATGTATATCTGCTAATATAAGCGTTTTTAATATCAATGGAAGTTAATTTCTGCTGCTGGGGATGCAAAATGGTGCATTTAAAAACAACTCCTTGTTGATTTGAGATTTTTACCGTATTTTTTTCTGTCCCACGCTTCTCTTTCATATCGACAGCCTGTAATCTCTCTGAACTTTGATGTGGGGTTTTTTGTTGTTGTTTTTTTGACAAAAGGTCCATAAACACGGCGAGAATGGAGTGATTTTATTTTTGATCTGAGGTTGATGATTTCATTTTTAAATAAGATATCGCTTCAGGGGTTTATTATTTGAGGTGAAAAACTGAACACCACAAGAGTTTTAACTCAAAGAGGTTTGAAGTGTTTGATCACAGCAAGATGCCAGTTGTGTTGGCTTTATCTAAAACACTGAAAGAGTTGTCTTTAAGGAAAGTTCAAGTCCCAACACAACATCAGGTGTTAGTTGTCTGAAAAAGTTTAGAAAGCTGCATCAAAAGTTCCTGATTTTTAGCAGGTTTTTCAAGGTAGAAACCTTCTTTTTGGTTCCTAAAACCAACCATCTGATATGAACAAGGAGTCATTTTCTAAGTGAGTCATTCTGTCCATTTATCTTCTGCTGCAAGGATAAAAAAAGACAACAGACAGACTGAAAGGAAACGGCACTACTGCTGCTCAGACAGAATTACAGCATGTTCCAGGTCTTATTTGACAGAACTTATCATCACATATTGTTGAGATGAAAAGCCCAATTCTCAGAGGCCCACTAGAACAAAAGTCATTCAGACAACTCAGGAAACGCCAAGTGGCCACAGCGGTCAGTTGGGCCGTTGTGATGGCTCCGAGGTGGCTCGAATAACTTTAACCTCCCATCCTTTGGGGCTACTGGCAGGTCAGAAACTCTCTGATCCAACATTTTAAAATAGTTCTGTCATATTACAGAAACGAAAAGCACTGTTGATCATTCAGAATTCTGTGACTGAACTGGAACTATTTATTTACTGTGGTTTGTTTCATCTTCCAATGAGAAGTCCACTCGTTATTGGGTTGCACCGTCTAAAAGAACCAAAATATGGATACAGACTATACTTTTAATTTGGCTTGTGGTTATTGTCGACAGGACAAAAAAAAAGCTCTTTTGAGCCATACTCATCCTCATTTCCTCTGCCTTTTTGTGGATTAAGGCTGAAACTAATTATTATTTAATCTGCTCGTCTTGAATCATTGATTGTTGTATCTATGAAATGAAAAATGTCCAAGATGAGCCCATTGAGCCCAAGATGCCTTTTGTTAAATGAAGATATTCAATTTGCAATAACATAAAACTGAAATAAGCCGCAAAACTCACATTGAAGAAGCTGGACACCAGCAACATGTTTGTCCAAATTAGCTTGAAAAGTGACCCATTAGCAAAATTAAAGTAATTCTGATCACGGGTTATTCCTTACAAAGATCATCTACTTAATTCATTTGGGTTGCCAGGTTGTTGGCGCACATTTAAATGGCAGATCCCTTTGATCTTTAATCCTCTTATAACTTAGAGGATATGATGTATATTTGCAGGAACAACTGCGTCCATGGACCATTTGAACCCCGGCTATCAGGGACTCAGTAGCATGTAGACAATACCTACCTATCTGAATCAGAACCAGAACCGTTTATTTGCCAAAGTATGTTGCACATACAAGGAATTTGACACGGTGGATTATTATTGTGCAAATGAAAGCTCTGGAGGTAAATCATTCATAAAGTTAAAAGGTCACTGCAACAACTCATAAATCAGTTTTCTTTACAGTGAAGTGGTGCCCATTCCCATTAATATAGTCCAGTTGACAATGCAATATTTAAATACATTGTTCTGCTGAAGACACAGCCACATGTCCTGAGGACCGCCCCTTTGTTTTTAAAAAATATCTACTTTCATTCCAGTTTAGAGAATATAGTTTATTTATTCTCCTGTTTATTCTGTTTTGTTTGGACTTGAAGTTGTTTCTAGCTCCTTGGAATGCCATTTGACAAACGGTGGATACAATAGCTGGAAGCCCTCTCAATGCTTTCCTGTTGGGTTCATATTATATATATATATATATATATAAACTTAGAGCAGCCAGTTCCTCCACCTCACTCTCAGTCTCTCCCTCATTCTCCGGTCCTCCTTGTTTGCCTCACCGTATCTCTACCACACCTTCTCTCTCATCGTCCTCTAATCAGTTAAACCAAACGGCGGAGTCAACTTCCTGTCCATGTGGGGGGTTTCTCCCGCCCCTTCCTGTCCGTGTTATCTCTCCCGTGGGCCAACACATTGTGCTCACTTCCCGTTAGCCCGGGCTGGGAAAACAACCTTGGAGAGGAAAAAGGATCGAGGCAAGGAGAAACATATATGACAAGAAACAAGGAGGAAAGATGAAGAGAACAATGTAGAGCAGTGATGAGTTTTCCAGCTGTGCAGAAACACTTCAGAGCAAAGACACATCGCACATGCAAGAGGCGCTAACATCCTGTTTCTGAAGCAAAGCCGAACGCAGCGTTTACAAATCAATAAAGATTAGCCACAGTTAAATCTTTAAATTCATAATAAGCAACTCCTCACTTTGTTGGCACTGAGGAATACAGTGGATTCACAAGTAGACCATTGCTTTTGCAACCTAGTTACCAGAAAAATAGTTGGCATTCTACATTTCTGCAAACCACGTCGAGTGTGAATACATTTCATGAACGTTTAATTTGGTTTCACTCGGGACACGAGGATCAGTCTCCTGGGTGAAAGTCCTGTGTTTGTTTGACTCATTCATGACTCTCCCTTGCCCTTGGAGGACTTTTTTTTGGCTCGTTTTACTCATTATTTCATTAACGGTTGTTCAATATATTACATCACTTGCTCTGACGGAATGCAAAAAACGTCCACATAAAAAAAAACTCCACATTCAATGTATCCGTGGTTTGCAGAAACTTATGTCAAAAAAAAATGGATCTTGTACAGAAAAAATACTTTTAGTTTTAAAAAAGAAACTTGTTTTTTGAAAGCTTTTCTGGCTGCCATCTTCGTTTGGGCCAACGAATGGAGACTCACCTTGTGAATCTTACTGGAGGAAATGTTTTTCTGTCCTGTTATTTCAGACCTGTCAGTCGCTCTCCAGGAAGCAATATTAAAGTTGTTTTTTGCATTTTGCTTGTATGTTATCACCATTATCTTTAATTGTGAACGAAAAAAATCAGTGTTGTTAAAATCGACAGCTTGTAGCAGACAGAGATGCTCCATTATATACTAACAGCAATGAGTGTTGTGTACTTCGGGTGAGAAAATGTGAGACATTTGGAGAGGGAGATGGGTCAATTTGACAACAATTTTGGCCAGCAGTGTTTTTCCACTTTTTAGTTCTGTTCCAAAACTCTATGTAAAACAACGACAACACTTCACACATACACTCATGCATCTAAAAGAGATAGTTCCAGAACACATCGATCATTAAATTCAATTTCCTTATTATCATTATTGTGCAGCTGCAAAATGACTGATGCCATTTTGTCAAGCAGCGCAATTTAACATCCTAAAAAAGTGCCATTTTTCATCTCTAATTTGGTCAATGGTTTGGATCCAGACAGTGAAAGTCAATCAGGTTGGGATTAAGGCACAAAACAAAGTATTTTATCTTTATATCAAGCAACAAACGCCCCATATGTATCAAATATTATCTTGAAAGAACAGAACTTTAGGTGATTTTGCTGTCATTTCTTTTGTGTATCCCATGTGTTATTGAGGAGTGTACTTTGAGTGAAATGTATATAGAAAAGAAACGTGCCTAACGATGATTTTTCTCCGGCCTCACCTCCTTTATTTGTAGCCTATGTTACTGTATTTAGAAGACGTCGAACTTGACACAATCTGTTGCTATCGCTGTAAAGTGAAAGAGTCGTTGTTGAATGGCCGCCTGAGTGAATATGTGATTTACTGTTTGTGTGTGTGCTTGTGATTGTGATTGTGCCCATGTAGATACACACAAATGGGTGTCAAAACCAATAAGAGAAAAAGAGAAACCACATAGAAATACATGTGTAAATACAGTAAGGGTCTCCAAGGGAGCAACATGTGCCTTTATCCTAAAACTAAATACTGTAATTCATTTTTTTTGACGGCGAACACAATGTTTTATATATTGTTTTTATGGTGTATAGCAACTACTTTTTATTACCTGACATTTTTGTAAGTGTAGAATAAAAATAAACACTACAATAAGTTTTGTTGTCTTTGTGTTTGGTGTTTTGAAGTTCGACAACGCAAAGAATTCAGATGTTCTTCGAATCAAGTTAATAGCTGAAGAGTGAGTGTTTTAATTCCATGACCACGAGACCAGTGTGAGCAAGAGACATTTTATTTATCAAGCAAAGGTAGACAATAAAAAAATCAAAAAACGAACAAGAGCAGGTGTAAAGAGCAACTTGTTCTCACTTCCAATTGGTCAGTGGCCCCTACGCGTTTCACTATGACGCCCTGCGTGGCCGTAGTTATGGCGGGAGTTAAGTCAGGTTACGTAATATAAAACGCAATAAAGCTCGCGTAAGGAAGTGGATGGATGGGTCCAAAAACACCACAAAACATGTACGTTACTTAACATGACATAGCGTTACTAGGCTGCGTAGAGAACATGGCCTACGTCACAAACAAATGATTTTTTCTGAAACCAAACCAATTTGTTTCCTGTAAAAACAGAGGTTTATTTTGAAAAGACACTGTTTGCGTCGAACGAGCGGAAATAGACGAGTATTTGAGGAAGTGGGAGAGAGACCAGGTTGGAAAAATTATTTGTTTTAAAAGAAAATGTATTAATTTACAAAAACATGCGTTTCAGAATTATTATAAAAGTACTTTCTGGGATCTGGATATCAAGGTTGATTGAGAAACAATGACATTGTGTGTTTTTTGGGACAAAAATCATCCCTCATGTCCATAAAAGGTGAAGTTGGAATTTACTGATTGTAACCCAACAATAAGTTGGGTCAGATTTATGATTCATAGCAGATTTTCACCAAGTAAATAAACATCGAACAAAAAGTTTGGAAATTAGTGTTTGGTAGATTATTTCTCTCTTGTAACAATGCTTCTTGGCAATAAATGTTATACCGTTGGAAAGCCTGTTTAGTTACCTTTCAAACGGTGACCCATTTGCAAGGAACATGCGTTTCTGGGATGAGCAGCACAGCTGAGTATGTGGATTGCGCCCATGAAAGATTTGCCAAATCTTCTCTGCCGGTGTCGGCAACACCTGCACTGGAACCTGAACGTGTGGAGGAACGTTATGTTCAGCGATGAGTCCAGATTCTCCCTAAGGAAGTTGGATCGTAGGGTCAAAATGTGGAGAAGACGGGGAGAACACTATGCTGATTGCTGTACTGATAGTGTAACACCTTTTGGTGGAGGCAGTGGGATGGTGTGGGGCGGCATCTCCATCACTGGAAAAACGAGGCTTGTCTTCATTGGAGGCAATCTCAATGCAGAGAGATATCGAGATGAGATTCTGCAACCAGTGGCAATCCCATTTCTCCACAGTCTGGGACCGAACCTCCATCCTCCAAGATGAAGACGCTCGCCCCCACAGAGCGGTTTATCAGAGACTACCTCCAGAATGTGGGAGTAGAGAGGATGGAATGGCCTGCCAGCAGTCCTGACCTCAACCCAAGTGAACACTTGTGGGACCAGCTGTTCGTGCCAGAGTGACCAACACAACCACGTTGGCTGACTTACGACAAATCCTGCTTGAGGAGTGGAATGCCATCCCACAGCAGTGTGTGAGCAGGCTGGTGACCAGCATGAGGAGGAGGAGGTGCCGGGCTGTTGTGGTTGTGTATGGTTCTTCCACACGCTACTGAGGCTCCTGTTAAATGAATAAATTGTAAAATTGCCAATATGTCTTGTTTCTTCCTTGTTACTGATAGACTTCAATCATCCAATCCACCAAACAACACCGAACAAGAGTCAATAGCAACAGCAGAATAAGCTGTTTGGCAGAGAAGATTTGGCAAATTTTTCATGGGCGCAACCCACATACTCAGCTGTGCTGCTCATCCCACAAATGCATGTTCCTTACAAATGGGGCACCGTTTGAAAGGTAACTAAACAGGCTTTCCAACGGTATAAAATTTATTGCCAAGAAGCATTGTTACAACAGAGAAATAATCTACCAAACACTAATTTCCGAACTTTTTGTTCGATGTTTATAAAGGTTGAGTATTGTGTTTTATGCAGTCATTGGATATATATATACTGTATATATAATGTTTCCATCTGGTGAAGTCCAGCTCTGTTTCTTTGTGTAAAATGATCCAACATGTCAATTGTTACACATTGTGAGGCGGCGTGAGGAAAAGCTCTGATCTCCTTCGCCTTGATCTTTGACATGCGAGTCGGAGGAAATCCTGTTTTTCTCTTTTCCTAACCGAGTGTAAATTCACCACAGGTTCATATGCAGTTGTATTATTGCAGGGGGGCCGGTGGACCGAGGGTTCAGACCTCCATATATGTGATCATATCCATATGAGACATGAGGACATGATAGCTGAGTGTTCAAGATCAGAAGAGAGAGAGAGAGAGAGAGAGAGAGAGAGAGAGAGAGAGAGAGATGGAGAGAATATGAAAGGGGAATACCAAAGTGACTTACGTCTTGTGTTGACACCCAACTGGGACTACACACACACACACACACACACACTTTCAAAGAAAAAAAAAAATCAACATTTTTTAATTTGATCCGGCTGACAAATCTTAAATATGAGAAGCTGTTATTCCACCTTCAGGTTTTGTTCAACATAATGTTGTTATGTGAAGCCGCATTCCTGTCAACGTCAAAATATGTAATTTGTCTTCCTGCCTTACAAAATGATCCATGTGACCGCTCCTAAAGAAGTGTCATTAGACGGCCTTTACAATGTTTTCCTCTCTCTGGGATGCTGTTCTGCCCATTCATAGCGACCGCCTGTTGGTTTGTTGTTGTGTGGGAAAGTATCAGAGGCATCAGTGCAAACCCTCGATAGTAACTGAACACATGAAGTTACCCTACCCTTAACTTCTGTGCTTAAGCAACGCCACTTACAAACTTATTTTAACGCAAACAACGATCTTATCCCAATCCTAACTAAATAGTTTCCTGTGAAGACAGAAGTTCATTTTGAACGACTGTATGCATGTTACAAGTGGAAGCTGACCGGTGCTGCTGACTTTTGTAGGAAAAAGCACAAAAAATAAGGAGTAACGTTTTGTAAGATATATGAACCGTTGTATGAGGATAGTGGTGTGAGCTACAGAGACACTTTAAACAAGGGTATTTTATTAGCATACAAGATTTTTAAAACACGATTAGGATTATTTGAACACCGAATGTGTTACTGAATGACACTGCTATTACATTGGTTGATGCAATTTGCTGTTTTAGTCTTATTGGTCTCGTTTCTTTTTTTACTTTCTGCCGTTAAGTCTGATATTTGTGTTTTCATGTGCGAAACTTTCATGCTTCCGTCTTGGCCAGGACTCCTTCGTAAAATAGTTTTTGAATGTAATTGGGACTCGACTGGATAAATAAAGGTTCAATAAATATAAATGTAAGGTTTCGTACTTATCGAAATATGCGTTATGTCAAATACATGGTGTAATTGTCTACACTGAAACCTTAAAAAGAAAAGACAACTAAAAGAAAGTTGTTCTTTTGATGTTTCATGCACTTGAGGTTTTATTTAACTTCTTGGAATTTCCTGTTTGGGTGCCATCTCCAGTTGACCCCAGCAGAACATAACTTTTCTAGCATGTTTTATCACCCACTTTAGTGCAATATCATACTGACAGACTTAAGTATTTACGAGTGTTGTTTCGAGGCATAAAACCTGAAGTTGATTCAGGACATGGGAGGACATGGAGGCTGCCCAGGAAAGGAGTGAAACATGTGTGGAAACTAGCCTTA